CATCCTCAACAGCAAAATTGCCTAATAGTTCTTACTCCTTCAAGAATATAACTTCAAGATCATTTATAAGCCCAACAAATAACACAAACAAGTTGACCACCTTAGCCATATTATGACAAGTGAACAACCAAAGTATAACGAGGATAACTTCCCCAACTCCAACATCTTGTAAATCCATACTTCATCAACCTAGATACAAGACATTTACCACTACCTAACAACAATGAAAATACCAAACTAATACATTATTTCTGACCAACACAAGCAATTCATTTTAAAGATAAGACCATATTCAGTTATGGGAGGAAGACTATACAAGAAAAGATGAGACAATGTATTATGAAGATGTGTACAACCTAAAGAAACTCAAGATTTACTTGAAGAAGCTCATTGTAGATAAGCAGGAAAACACTTTGCAAAAGAAATCACAACTCGATAGATTTTACAAGCTAAACTTTGGCGGCCAACACTCTAAAATGATTCAGCAAAATTTTGTTATGAATATAACATTTATTAAAGAACCAAGCATGTGTCAAAAATGTAGAATCAAGGACTTCATCCAACAACTTCTCTCAAACCACTTAACAATTTTGTAGAACCACTTACAACAAGTTCAAAATAAAACAAATATATCCTCATAACTACTAATTACATAACAAAGTGGGTTGAAGCTCAATTAATAAATGTTGCAATAGGGAAAAACACAGTAAAGGTCATTTATAAAAACATTATCACAAGGAACAATTTACCTCAAGAATTTGTTATAAATCGAGAAACACACTTCATTAACAAAACTACCAATATTCTTACTCAAGAATTCACAATCAAGCATAAAGCTTTAACACTATACTATCCTCAAGGAAATGGTCAAACCTACAAACAAGACCTTACAAAATATATTCAAAAGGGATCATGAAGATGAATAAAAAAGACTGGGACAATTGTATCCACAATGCCCTTATCAAACTATTTATAAGCTTTTAACAAATTTGACATCATTTAAGCTTGCTTACAGCTTGACACCACTTAAGTACATCATTCTTTCATTACAAATGGCAATACTCTATGCGATCAACCAAGAAGAATCAATGACCAATGATAGAAAAGCTTAACAAAAAATAACTATAAGCAATTTGGACACTTAAAACCATTCAAGCTAAAAGAAAAGCCAACCATGACAAAAAAAGACAACTCAAGAAAAGTGAAGAATTCAAGGTTAGAGATCAAGTTTTATAATTTCAAGGAAATATAAAAAAAATCAACTCAAAGATACAATCAAGATGAGAAGGACAATATTTAAACCCATGGATTTTTCTAAAATTGTTTTCTTTAATTGCTTATAACTTTCCACTAGTGAAGAGTGACTGACATTGATTCCATGCATGAAGGAACTCCACTAAAGTGTATCAAGGTGGAAATTTTCTGCAAATGAACAACGTGATTGACAAAGCTAAGTTGCAATTCAAGGTTTTGATCTCCACACTAGAGATGTGAAAGTCCAAAACTTTTGCTAGTAAAGCAATCATGATTCTCTATGAAGATTTGTAGTAAAAGACACAGTGCTACCTCTGTGACAAGCTCATCAAGGAACTTCATATCACAATGATAATAATCCAAGACAGCCTCAAATGCAAAACACTCGTCCCTTCATTGTAGCATTCATTCTGAAACTCAACACCACCATTCTACTACAAATCAAAGAGATAGAAATAAATAATAGCAACAAAAGACTAAGGAAAGCCACAAACACAGAGACATCATAAACACAAAGAAAAGGGGAATGTGCTTAAAGAATATGAGACAATTTCCCATTAACAGTAAATTATCATTAGGATCCGTCCCCACAAAATAAAGAAAATCATCATTAAGGCAATATTGAAAATGTAAATACTTATATAACAAATCATCAATAAATAATGCAAAATTCTCAAACTTATTATAAAGCCTTTAGACAACTCAACCTCACTAGGACTCAATAAATTTGTCACATTAGGCTTAGCTTTGGGGTGACCTTTGAAGTGTTGAGGTAAGTCATATATGACATGTTTATAGTGTGAGTATACACTTTCATATAACCTAATAGAAAACATCACATGATTGGGGAGAAATCTAGATAACTACACTCCCTTCCAACTTCTTTATGCATTAATGTTATGCATCCAATCTAGCTTAGGCAACTAGCATTGAAGGCCTAAATTTCACTTTGCAACTCCAACCAGCTCTTGGAGCTTAAGGAGACTAGAGAGCATGCAGCCCTGCACAATTGACTATACCAGCAATAACTCATTTGTCAGCAAAGGAAGACACATGGCTCAACTTTTCAGACAGGGATCTCATCTGGCTTTAAAATATCTGAACCCATCAACCAAAGCTAGAACCAGCTTGGAGCGGCCCATTTCAGGTGAAAAGCATCACTGGTGCAAAGTTTATTTTACGTTCAAGTGATAGATGGCCACATCTTGCCTAATCCCTTCAACAGGGTTCATCTTCAATGCTATTACATATAACAGCAGCAACATACACATAGAGGTTATCTAGTTCTTCATTTTTGCTTCACCACGCAGCCCCATCATGTAAAGTCTCAAAAAAAGCTCATGCATCTATGAGTTTTATTCATATCAAAACACTTCTAACAAGTCCCCTCTTCTTCCTAATGGGTGGAGTAGCGTATTGCTCTAACGTGCCTTTTTTCACAACATTCAGAGTGCGGATATATGGGGATATTCCCTCGAGATGCATATGTGGATGAGCTCCGGATACTTCTCTTCTATGTCCAGCTTGGCCACCGTCAGCAATCTCCAACTTCAAACTCGTACAGCTGCTGCTCAGCCACATCTTACAGTGAGGCAAAACTATTGCCGTGTGTTGTGCTTGAAGCAAGCAAAGGCACTTCCGAGCATGCAGTAACGCAATGAAACCGAACCCAGAAAATCCAGCCGGCATGCTGTTTGGTAGAGCGTTACTTTCCTGGTCCCAATCGCCGACCACTTGATAACCGGGCATATGTTGTAGTTGCATGATCGAGGAGCTTGCCTCGCTCGGCAGAAGAAGACGCAGCATCCAGGTATAATTCGGCCAGGAAAAACCCCAGTGCCTGGTACACATTTCCAGCTCGAGAAGAAGCTCGCTTTGCTCCTTCCAGTCTATACCACTGCTGGAAACGCGCTCGAGAATACCGTATCCAACGTGATATAGTCCACTGTCTTGCATAAACTGCGTCACCTCACTAGCTGAGACCGAGCTCTCAGAAGCCGGATATGCCAAGCAGCCGTCTACGCAGGGCGCGATACCTGAAGCCTCGGGATCGACTTCGACCTCTAAACGCGAGCTGTCGATGATGAAAGGTTGTGTCAAGCTCTTGGGACAATCGGCCACCGCCTCCTCGCCTTTGATCAGGCTCCGTAGCCGAGTGCTTCGACGTTCGTGTGCATGGCTGTCTTCGACTTCTGAGAAGAAGATCATCTGTCAGCTTGGCAGAAGTCTCGCTGCTGCTCCATCGGGACCTTGCACCGAGAAGAGAACGCGAGAATTGGCAAGATAGCAGCCGTTCTTCTCGTTGAGCTCCTCACTCTTCAAAACCTTCCATTCCTGCCTGTTTTGCAGTGACTCCAGAGTAGCCTTGATAAGGAAAAGCCAAGACGGCTCCTCAAGTACTGCTTCCTCTTTTCCTCTTGGATGTATCCGGGACAACGTCGAGCTTCCTCTTCCGCTGAAACGAAAGGTTGGGATGTGCCGGTTCCAAACTGTCCATCCCCGAAATGCCGGTGCCATGGTGCTTGCCTTCAATAACTCTCTTGGTATGAAGCGCGCGAGTGTGCGAAGGATGGAAACGTTTCACGACTGAGATGCAGCCTGTCTCGTCTCCAATGGCGATCAAAACTTCGACGAGTTTCTCCATGCGCCTTGCAACTCCCTGATAGGAAGAACACTATATATTCTTACAGTGTTGCAGAAAAAAACCCCATCGCAAGTAAGAACTCAAAGAAGAAATTTCGAAAGCAAAGCTTTCACCAAGTGTTTGAAGTCACCTGTGACTTGATCGACAAAGGATCTTGGGTGATCGCCTGGAAGGTCCCCGCTTTGCAGCATCTTGGTAGAGCTTCGGGAGATGGGACTCCTGCGCAGAGAGAAAGCAGCTTCTAACCTGCGCTTCTTTTGTGCGGGCCGAAGGCTCCAATCGGCTTCTACTCTCGTTGATAGATCGCATACAGGCGTCACGCAGAGAGTCGTCGCTCTACGGGAGCTCCCAAAAACCCTAATCGATTGAAGAGAGACCAAGGGGAAAGAAATGTATCGCATCGCAGGCGTTTCCCGCATGAAGCAGTGCCGAGAGTCTCCAAGGCTCTTTTCTTCCCGAGCGCACTTGCCTATGGGCACGCACTTGCCCACGGCGGCAACTGCTGGCAAAGAGATTTCAAAGAAGCGAATGGAAGACGAGAAGACGTGGGTGTGGAACTGCATCATCAGAGACTACGGCATGCTTGGCCGAGTCGAGTGCGCTCGAGAGGCATTTCTGCAGTGTCCAGCTAGGAACTTCCTGAGCTGGAAGCATATGCCCACAAGGGGCATTACGGGAAAGTGCTAGAGATTGAAGACAAGATCCCGGCTGTGATGTATCAGCTTGCTCCGCCTCCTCCTTCTCCAGCATCCATCTTTGATGCTGTTTCTCTGTACCAGAAAGGCAAGAGGTGGGCAGCATGGGAACTTCTTCAATGAGGAAAATGGAAGGAAGCTTCTTTTTTTGGCATTGGGCAAATACAAGACAGTTTCTATGCTTCTTGTGTTCACTTCCCTCTTGACTTATGGCAATGTCCAGCTTTTCAAGCTAATTCGGACCATGATAGAAGGATCTTCACTGACCGAAGAAAGCCTCACCCATCTAGCATGCTGCCAGGGCACTCGAGGTGTTTCAGGCGTTCCAGTGGAAGCTACGCGAGCTGCGAAGGAACTAGCCTACGTTGTAAGTTTTTGCGAAACAGGCAGCGCTGACACCAGCTCAGGTGCATGCGTGGTTATTATCGTCTGGACAAGTCTAGCTTTGGGCCGGTCTCACTGTGCCTCTCCAGTTCCCGGCACGGCACTCGTATGGCATCAATAAGCTCGCGTTTCTGACCGGAACATGTCCTGAGAGATATCAATGTTTCGGTTACGAAAGCTGGGCTGGTGAAGTAGCCACTGCCGGAGGAGAGCTTCAGCGCGGTCACTCCGGAGGGACTTGCCAGTGTTGAAGGGGCGCTTGCCTGGAAATGCGTTGGTCAGGGCTGGAGTGATCGGGCTCTCTGTTCAAGGCAGTCCTTGAGATTTGGAAACATCTTTTGGCGTCCTCCAGGAGTTGTGTCGTCGAGCTTCGAACGTACGGTGTTCGTGGCATCTTCACCTCCTCGAGCTCGATATCTAGATGAGGGGCAGCCGCGCGTGGAAGTCCTCAGCGCTGGGAACTCCAAGGAGGCATGAGCGTGGCAGAACTGGAACGGATCTAGCACGATTGGAGCACTCTTTTTCCTTTTCTCTGTTTTGTTCCGGTGCTCCTTACTATAATATATCTAACGCTTGAAACTAACCAAAACCAAACTAGACCTCAGACCTCACCATAACCGCTAGACCTCTCCACGTGGACAAGTTTGCAACCAACGTTCTAGACATGGAGGGAGCTAGAATGCCAAGTTCATCATAATTGCGCTGCCTATCAACATAAGTCCATCAGCATATACCGCGGCGACACATCCTCAAATCGCCTGGGCTCGCACCTCCTCACCACGATCTTCTGCGCTGCTCCACGGTTCCCATGAAACCTCCACACGCCCGCGACCGTATTCCTTGGTCCACTCCACCAGCTGGTTATACACGTCGGGCTCGTAGCAGCTGTTCGCCGAGAAATCCATTTCCCATGGCCTCTCCCGCAGCATGCACATGGTGCTCGAAGCTCCCCAGCCGGACACTCCCGTGCAAACATCAGAGCAGTAGCAGCAGCAGCAGCAGGACTATTACAGTGGCTTCAAACCGCAGCATCACTTCCCTTCCCCGATGTGATTCATCTCTTGCGCATAAACAAATCCTGCTCCATAAGCTCCAACTTTCCACGGACGAGCTCGGCCAAACTTGGGCATTTACATCAGCCGCTTGACGTCCTGCTTGACGTCTTCTTGCTTGAGAGCAGCGGCACACCCTGAAAGCTCCTGACTTTCCTCGGGGCTCCAAGTTCTCAGCTCCTCGTCGTCTCCGCTGCAAGCGCTTCCTGGTGATAGCGAAGGATCGTCGTCGGGTTTCAGGAAAACTCCAGCGCAAGATGGCAAAGTTGGCAGGGCTCGATATAAACATCCCGAGCACTTTGAACTCGTGCGATTGCACAGCATCGGTGCACTTGCCCATTTCCAACAATATCCTTTTGTCCATCTTGATACTAAATCCTTTCTTTGATTGCCAGCGAGCACACCGGTAGACCGAATGAAAGCAAGCCCAGAAAGTCCACCCGGCATCCCTTTCGATGCTGCTGCTTCTTAGAGCATTATTTTCCTGGTCCCAGTCAACTTCAGAGCCGACCACTCGAGAACCCGGCATAAGGTGCAGTGATCGAGGAGCTTGCCTGGCTCGGAAGAAGAAGACGCAACATCGAAGTATAACTCGACCAGGCAGAGATTGGACCTGGAACTCCTGCCATTCCCAGTGCCTGGTATACTTATCCAGCTCGAGAAGAAGCTCGTGCTGGCCTGCTGGAAACCGACTCGAGAATACCGTGTCCAACGTGATATAGTCCACTGTTGTTCTCGTAGTCTTTCATGAACTGCGTCACCTCTCCATAGTGGCGCAAGAGGCCGATCTCTCGGGACAATTGGCCACCGCCTCCTCAGTCGAATTCTTGAGTCATCCATCCGTTGTAGCTTTCGCATATCTCTTCACAAGATAACAAGCTGACAGTTAACCTGTGGTGGCTGCGACACTGTCTCTCTTGCGGAGAGCATGAACGTCGAAGCGCCATAGCCAAATATACATAATAAGCAGTACACCTGGATCAGTGAGGTGGCGCTACTGCCACTTAGGATCATGTCATAGAGAGCATATATACTTTACGAGTTCTGCCTCCTCGTCCCAGTTCGACGCGTGAGCCCTCGTCTTGAGTGAAAAGGATTTCGCATTCGTTCTTCTCTTTGAGCTACTCGCTCTTCAAAACCTTCCCGTGTTGCCTGTTTTGCAGTGAGGAGAAGCCAAGAAGGCTAGCGTTAGCTTGACCGAATATTGCTTCCTTTCTTCCTCTTGGATGTATCCGGGACAACGTCGATCTTCCTCTTTCGTTGAAACGAAAGGTTGGTATGCGTGCATTCCAAACTCAGAAAATGCCAGTGCCATGGTGCTTCTCTTCAATAACTCTCTTGTATGGAGAGCAAATTCTTACAGTGTCGTGGGCTGTGCTCAAACGCTTTGCGTGAGATATTGAGCTTGCCAAGTGAGCAGGTGGATTCCAAAGGACGACATCCTTCGATCCCCAAAGCCTTCCTCTGGCTATGTCAGAAAACATGATCAAAGGCAAGCTTTTTTTTTTCACTCACATTGCAGCTTTCCGTCTTATGGTGAATTTGTTTGTTTCTTTGAACTCACGAGTGTTCGAAGTTACCTGTGATTCGGATCTTGGATGATCGCCTGGAAGAGACTCTGCGCATTTGCCAGATCCCACTTGACAGGGCATCTTTGTAGAGCTTCGGGCTCCAGCTCCATTGAGCCATGATCTGCAGCAGGTATTGGCACATTTCTCAAATGGAGATTGGTCATTGCTTCAGACGGCCTAGACGTAGTGATCATGCACCACATTAATTCTTGACGTCACAATCCAAGCTCAATTCATCTAGCAATGTCGCTACCACAAGCACCTAGAAGATTATTGCAAATGACAGTCCCTCCCAAGCATGGAGGAACACACTACTTGTGTACTTCTTTACCTCAAGGCGAGAAATTTTATAGCTTCTAGCTTGTTGCATGGCGTGTGTTCGATACTGCTCTTGACCAAAAACGCGCTCAACATCTTATAAATCTCTGTATCATGAATCATCGATCATCTCTCTCCACCGAAACTGATCCGGTAGAGCAAGTCCATCAGCATATAACTGGCGGCGGCTACTCCTCATGTGTCTAAACATCCCTCTCTTCCTCAAAATCAATGGGCTCACACCTCCTCGCCACGATCTCCTGCGCTGCTCCCTCCTGCGCCTTGTAATCCCGCAGCAGCTGCTCAATGTGCGCCACCTCAAACCTGAAGAGATTCACGCAGCAATCCGGTTCCCAAACCGTGTAATCTTTAATCTCGATCTCGCGATGGTACTCCTTTGCACCCTCGATCCACTCCACTAGCTGGTGATACACGTCGGGCTCGTAGCAGCTGTTCGCCGAGAAATCCATTTCCCCTGGCCTCTCTTGCAACAGCTTGCTGCACAGCAAGCCGTCCTCGAGCTCCTCGAGCTCCTCGAGCTCCTCAACCATCCGGGCTTCAAACCGCAGCATCACTTCCCTCGTCCTATCAATGTCGCTTGCACATCTGAACAAATCCTGCTCCGCCCAGCATGCCATTCGCTCCTTAAACTCTCTAGCACCTGGAGTGGATTTGGAAAACACATTGGACGGTGTCAACCCTTGTTTCCACGGTGATCTCCGGATGAGCTTCGCCAGCGAATTGCTAAACTTGGGCATTTGCATCTGCCGCTTGACGTCCCGCTTGACTTTAGCGCGTACTGCTTTCACGAGATCTCGGTGCGTTTTCTCATCCAAGCTATCCACGCGAGAGCGGAGGTCGGCGTAAGTGATACCAGAATAGGGGCCCTCTATAATACTAAGGAGGGGAAAGGGATCATAACAGTCATCGATCACCTCGACTCTGGCGATGAACATGTCGACATCTGCGGCCTTGCAGGCTTGATCCCACACACGACACAATCGAAGGTCTAGCCTCCGCACAACAGTGTTCACAACGCTCAGATAAGCATTCCGTCCCATCAGAACCTACCCTAGCCCTAATTGTCTAATTGAATTTTGAGCTTTTGCGTGAGAGAAAAATTCAAATCCTTTTGCTGCCTTGGGAAACGCAATTTGAACAAACACACCTTGGGCTCATTGCTGCTGCTCGCAAGCCGAGCGAGCAATCCTAAACTTGCATACATATGACAGCTATTTTCTATGCTTTCTTTTCCCTCTCTTCACTGCCCTTTATCGGCCAAAACATCAAACCCATTTTTCCTGAAATCACTGAACGCGATCCATGTAGGAGTACATTTACTCTATCTATTTATTTATCTGTTGATAGTCTCTCACTTGAAGCGTGAGACTGATGGATGCATAATGCAAGGGTTTGTGAGCTTTGCTAATGATGCTCGCTACTCCATGCTTCATACAATCTTCAAGCTCTTCAGAAGTTGTAGACTTTACCTTGTTCTTGGTCTTCCTAGCTCTTCTTGGTTTCAGTGCTCTTGGCCTCTCTTTGTTCTATAACTTCTCTTGGCAATAATCTTGGCTTGATCTTGGCAAATTATTGGCTTGAAAGTTGAGTTTCCGTTGTCCACTTGTTTCTTCTTGCTCGGGTTTATGGCTTGATTGTAGTAGTGATCTTGGCTGATGAACCCTTGACCTTGTCAGTTGCAGATGCGAAGAGTACATTCCATCGTAAGTAAGACAAAGCTAGGCGAAGCCTTCACTGAAGAGATCGGTACTCGATTTATACCAACTCGCAATCAAGAAGAGAGGTTGCTATCGTGATCATAAAGCCATGGAATCTTCATAGATGAGCGGGCGATACCCCCTTGCGTGACACTTCCCCATCACAACTAATAAGGCAGAGCTGGATAAGGTTCTGGGGCTCCTTCCGGAACATTGTTTGACTAAAAGTTGCAACTACACACCCTCCATCGTGCAAAGGAATTTGAGAGGGATGCTGCCAGTTAATTTGTTCTAGTTTTTCCACCAGCCACACCACATTGAAGCTTCTATAGTCAAATATTTCATGTTTCTCTTTATTGCAGGCTCTCTGGAGTTATTCACTGTGTACCATAATCGCAACATAATGGATTTCCAACGCTACCTCACCAGCCACTTTAGAAATGTAGAAGTGAATCTAACTTGTCTACAACTGCACGATGTCTTTTAAAGGGTAAGGTACGTTTGGAGGATGCCCAGCTGAAATGGTTTCATACCCTCGCTCACTTGTTTTACAGACCCAAAAAGCAGTACAAAACGCGGGTTTCTGGTTGAAAGAAGGCAGCTGATGATCCTCAGATTCGCGAGCTGCTTGAAGCAAATCTCTTTACATATATTCCTTCGATAATATTCCACGATCTTCTAAATCGATACTTTACATAGTAACCCTTCCCTATTATATTAGCGGCGATGGAAGCTCTAGCATTGGCGTTCTCCTGGTTGCGACGCCCTCCAGCACAGGCAAGCACACAGGCAACAGGATTGAAGGTCCTCCTCCTTGAGGTGTGTACAACTCGCTCATTTCTGTCATTTTTTCTTGTTCCTTGACATTTTTCGCATGCGGGCAGACTCCTGCCGCAACAGCGGACAAGAAAGCGGAGGATTTCCCAGCGCAGCTCGAGGCAGTGA